TATTTAATTGTTGCATGTAATTATTATTATACTGTGTGCTTCTTAGTTATTCCATCTTTTGCTGTAACATGGATCTGTATGTAACTCTATATTTACTTGTTATCTACCACACTTCCTTCTACATCATACACCATCATTATACATGATGGTGTATATAGGATATATATATTTGTATACATATCTGTAAATTGTATAATTTTATTTAAACGTCTTTTTGATCTCTCAAACTGAGTAAGATTGACAATAAAGTTGACTTTGAAAAATATATATATTCTTTATGAAAATAGTTGACTGTTGTCAAATGAATCCAAATGAAACGTTGGACTGAACTACAACTACGCCTTTAAATCTCTACGGACTGTTTTTCAGTGGGATGGCAAGTTCCTATCTTTAAACATTTATTAGTTTTTTCTCAGAACAGATTTGATTTTATGAAGTTAATTTAACTTTGCCGACCATGTAAGGTCATCATTAAAAGGTACAATCAATTTGTTTAGGGTTGACTAAAATAATGAAAAACATTCATTTGGATAATTTACTGACAGAATAAGAAACTCAATGATGCTCTACTCACCTGTTCCCTTTTTATAAAGTGAAACAGTTGAAACGATAGATTTTAGTAAACTTAAAAACAACCTTCTCCAAAAGCTATCAAGGAATATACCGAATACTTGTTTTAGAACTTTATTACATATTTTTATATAAATAGTTTGAATGATCCATAATTGACAGAAGCTTGTGTTTACACTGACCTGTTACTCATATATTAATGTCTTTGTAACTTCAGTAAACCACTACCTCACTAATTTCTTTCATTCATCACGGTTCAGTAAACTAAGTGATACATGAAACAGTTTAATCATTATAATAACGTAGGATTGCAACTCTTTGAAAATGTAGGTGGCTCTTAAAAGAGCTGTTGTGTTTGGGTGTGCTGGTCTCAGGTCAGTCTAAGCCCTCTCTCCGCGGATGCGGCGGGCCAGCTGGATGTCCTTGGGCATGATGGGGACCCTCTTTGCTTGGTTCATCTTACTGGGGGGCAGCTACATGGATGTCGGTGCAGTCCACAATCATTGCGCAGTTGAAGGCAGAATGAATTTATTATTGACTCCGAATGAAGCACAACTTCATGTCATACAATACAATGACTTTATTTGTAATTGTGTAAAAAAATATGAGCATTGATTAGCAAGCAGGACCTGCAGGAACAGAGAATAGTGATGGATGGAGCTGGGAAGAGAGAAGAATAAAGAAAACAGATCAACTTTATTATCGGATATTAAAAATTCAATTTCAAAACAAGTTGCCGCTCCTACAGTTTTCTAGTATGTAAAGATGATTTCACATGACCTATGCAACATATCACACTCAATACATGTGTGTATCTGGGGGGGTGCATTGTGCCTTTGATGTATATAAATAATATACCATAACCAAATACTATTACGTACAGTGGAAATCAGGTTGCCAGAGCAGGTCAGTGTGCATGTTCCTCAACGTCTCAGCAGTTACAGGTGAGGTAAAGAAAATAAAAGAGAAAAAGGTCAGTAACAACACTTTAAAGTAACAACACTTTGAATAATGATCTCTTCTAACAATTTTCTCTCAATAAGCACACAACGACTGTCTTTCCAACAAACAGATTGTCATCACAATGAAACACGTCCAGAAGAATGACATGCAAAGCTCCATGCCTGCCTTCGACTCTCCCTGAACTGCTTCCTTAGCACCCGGTGGAGGGCGCAGTATGCTACTCTTCAAAAGTTTCACGAAATACTTACCATCATGTTTGGTTACTGTTTAACATTTTGGTTTACTTCATGTAATAAAATAATAACTTCATGGTAAGGCTACTAAAAATGACAAGGCTAAGTAATGTAATGCTAACTAACGTGCTCGCTACTCGTCGCTACTAGCTAGGTAGCTAACTTGACTATGTTCCATGCACAACATGTATATTACCTATGATATTACCTGATATGTCTGATCCAGCGACTCCTGGTCCTTTCATCAGACGGGAATCGATAGAAGGAGCAAGTGGTATGATCACTTTTATGACTACAACCTGGTACAAAGAACACAGGCATCTTGTAAAAGTGAATTTATTTTTAGCGATCTATCATTTATTGGAGGGAATAAATCAGTTATGAGATCTTCTTCTTCTTCGCTTTAATTACGAGTCTTATTATAAATCACCGAGCATGCCTGTGACATCACTTACGCGACCCAGAATGGGATTTGGGATTTGTAGTCTTTGTAGTAGCGTATTTTTCATAGTATTATATTTCAGCAGTTTTACGACAAAATGTGACTTTTTTGACATGGAAATGATTGTTTAAGATTGACAAACATCATATGTGTAGTTCGTGGCACAATTCAAACGGGATCAAAAGATACGTGTTCTCTCTCCATTGAATTCAATGTAAATGTTTCGCTTCCGGGGTCCCATGGTCCGGAAGTAGATGGGCCCTCCCTTTCCGGGAGCCTCCATGGGACCCCGGAAGCGGAAAATTATACATTGAAGTCAATGGAGAGAGAAAGGTTATCTTTTGATCCCGTTTGAATTGTGCCACGAATGACACATATGATGTTTTTCAATTTAAAAGAACATTTTGCAAGTCAAAAAAATAAAAATGTGTCGTAAAACTGTGAAGTTACACATTTGTTCGTGTGAAACCGCTCAGTGAACTACAGGTCTCTGGTCTCGCACAATACGCGTCACCATCACAAAGACGGCCGTCACATTAGCAAATTTCACCTGTTTCTTTCAGAATGAGGCGAAAAGTATAAAACGAGGTGAACATCACTACAAGTCTGGGCATGTTGAGAGCTGTACATACACGAAAGGGGAGTTAGTCGGTTCTGTAAGAGCAGCGGGACCGGTGAGTAATATGAGTGCAATGTGTAACGTTAATGTCAGCTAGCTAACATTAGCTAACAAGGTACACTAACGTGTTTTGTTTTAGTAACTAGTTTTCTCCTTAAGAACTTCGTGGTCTCTGTGTATGCTGTGGATAACATTAGTGTTCACAAGAACAAGGTACACTCCCGTGTTTTGTTTTAGTTGCTCTTCAGATTGAAGCGGACAGTTTTATATCGACTATACTGTATGTGTGATCTCCTTTTTCTCGTTGTGTCATTTGACTTTATTTGCTGTGTGTAGATTCAAGGATTTTGGTTATCTAGGCACAGCTGTGTGTGACTCCCTCTGGTACACTGGTATGTGTTTTCCTAATGTAGAGAGCATTGATTAATTAATAAACTACACACTGAGTCTAGATCCTGACCAAATCCTTTTTTATTGTTGATCAAATGTTTTTCAAAAATGTATTCATACACATTTAGAAAAATACAATGTACAATCACAACCAATACAGCACAAATTACAAAAAATACAGAAAAAACAAACAATAACAACAAATCAGACAAGAGGACAAAACTATGGAAAAATAAACCCTCCCACCCCCAGATCCGGACCATCCTTGTATTATTGCTCATTCAATCTATTATAGCATGCTAACAAATGGTACTTACTTTATTTTTACAGATCTGCATGGGAGACGATGGCGGGATGCAGAGATACATCGCCAACTGTCAACTGGGGGGTTGTAAACGAGGCCGAAGGAGTGAAGGCTTTTGTGCAGGCCTATCGGGTGACAGTGTTCGAGTCTGGTCTCTTTGTGAGTGAGTCGGGTGTTTTGGGAGCATCACCCGATGGACTTGTGCAGCCATCTGCCCTGCTGGAGGTGAAGTGTCCACACAGCCAGAGGAACATGACCATCGCGGAGGCAGTCCAGTTACCATCCTTCTGTCTCCGTGAGGAGGGTGGGTCATATATTCTCAAGGAGAATCACCCATACTGGCACCAGTCCAAGGGCAGCTGCATATCACAGACCGGAGTCTCTGCTACTTTGTTGTGTGGACCACGAAGGAGGCGATCATCATCCCCATCCCCAAAGACCCTGCATGGCATGGAAATCTCCTCCTCCTGGAAAAATTCTACACCCAGCATATGCTCCCTGTGTTGGCCAGTAGAGAGGAGGACATTTAAATAAACATACTCTTAACACCCTCGGACTCTGCGTTGTGTTTCGTATGTGTGATGGGGTGTTATGCAGAGGGGAGGAAAACAGGACACAGCAGATTGGGATTGTGGTGGAGATGCTGAGCAGTTATTTAATTGTTGCATGTAATTATTATTATACTGCGTGCTTCTTAGTTATTCCATCTTTTGCTGTAACATGGATCTGTATGTAACTCTAATTTACTTGTTATCTACCACACTTCCTTCTACATCATACACCATCATTATACATGGTGTATATAGGATATATATATTTGTATACATATCTGTAAATTGTATAATTTTATTTAAACGTCTTTTTGATCTCTCAAACTGAGTAAGATTGACAATAAAGTTGACTGAAAAATATATATATTCTTTATGAAAATAGTTGACTGTTGTCAAATGAATCCAAATGAAACGTTGGACTGAACTACAACTACGCCTGTAAATCTCTACGGACTGTTTTTCAGTGGGATGACAAGTTCCTATCTTTAAACATTTATTAGTTTTTTCTCAGAACAGATTTGATTTTCTGAAGTTAATTTAACTTTGCTGACCATGTAAGGTCATTATTAAAAGGTACAATCAATTTGTTTAGGGTTGACTAAAATAATGAAAAACATTTCATTTGGATAATTTACTGACAGAATAAGAAACTCAATGATGCTCTACTCACCTGTTCCCTTTTTATAAAGTGAAACAGTTGAAACGATAGATTTTAGTAAACTTAAAAACAACCTTGTTGCTCTGGACAAAAGCGTCAGCTCAATTAAATGTAATGCTTGCAGCCAGTTAGTCACACAGTGCATTTAGAGTTCTTTCAAAAAAATTGCAATGTTGACAACCGAGCAGCATTCAATTAAATATTGTGCCTCCATACTTTTCCTGGTGCTCAAAGCGCTTACAAGCAAGTAAAACAAAAATAACAACAATCTTAAGAGCGAAGACAGAGCAACTTTTAATGATATGACATAGATTTAACCGGGATGTTTTGGGATTTAAAGGGTCACATTCATCTGTTCAAGTGTCCGTCCTTCCCATCCATCAGCTCCGCCCCTCTGAGCCCAGCAGCCCCGCTCTCTTCAGGACTTTGTCCACATTAGGAATCAGTTTTTCTTGGAAGTCCCACAGCCGTTTGTCCTCACGGAGCTGCTCAAACTTTAACGACCCCCGCAGTGCCACACGGACATGAATGATCCGACAAACGTCCATAGGAACCTTGAACTGTTTTCCAAAGTTCTTGATCACTTCATGCACCGAGGTCTGCTCCACCAACCTGTGAGGAAATCATTGGTTAATTATAGTGCGATTCTCTGTCCATACCTTTTAATACATCAATATCCCCCTCACGAACACAAGCACAGAGTCACATTACATACACACACACTTTTCACTACCATATTCCTTTTTTTGTAAGTACTTTTTATTTTATTGTTGTTTTTATCATATTTTATTTGAATTGTTTGCAATCACTATTGAATTTGATAATTTTTTTTGGAGCCTCCAAAAAAGCCAATGAGGTTTTTGTGCCTCTACCAGGACTGTATATTATGTGTTTTCTCTTATATTTGTGTATTTTTTTAATTGTGCAAACAATAAACAACCTTCTACACATCTATTGGGGTGTGGGATGTAAGTGTTCAAAACCATTTTCAGCATTTTTAGATGTTTTACTATAATATTAAAAGTGTTTTACAATAAATAACTTAAATAGTGTTTGACCAAAAAGATCTACACATTTATTATGTATTCAGCCAAAAGCTCGGAGTGTGGGCCCTGAGTGAGTAACCTTTTGGTCTGACAAATTCAGCCTACCTTGGCTGAACTATCATCTTGTGCGGGTGGTATATACTCCTGTCGGGATCCTCCTTGTAAATATGCTCCAGAATATTAACTCCCGGCACGTCGCTCCACTGAGGCAGGTGAAACCTCCCGCTTGGCTCAAAATGGTGCTTGGGGAAGATGTGGTTCTCAATGAGGAATACTCCTGTCTACAGAATGTCATACAGCATGGGTGATGGAGAGAAAACATAAATAAATACTTCTATTGTTTGGATATTGATGTAATATTTGTCTTGCACATTACTAAAACCATACATTTGGCTGCTGCTTTTGGAGCATGTCCATCAGAGACATCAGGTTGTTGTGTTTGTACGGCATTATGATCTCATCGATGTCGTTTAACAGCACGTAGCGCGAGTGCTTCATGGATCTGTAAATGCACTCATTGAGCGTGATCAGCTGGCCGAAGTAGTGAACGTCCCCCCCGCTCTGTGAGAAGAGCCAGCCCTTTGATGGGTTAAGGTACCGGTGGATGGGCCACGGGACCATCTCCACGAAGCCCTCCTGGCTGTAGCTCTGCAGCAGGCGGTCCAGCTCTGGCCCACAGCTGGTGTTATAAATCACCACCCGGTCCACACCCAGCAACCTGTAGCAAAAACAAACAAATGATTTGATCAACCAAATTACAAATATAAACTATATCTAATGAATAAAATGTGTCTGACTAACCAGCAATCCAACATTGTAACCCCCAGTGCTACTACACTAGTATGACCTAAAAAACAACAGCAGCATGTTTTTAATAATAATGCCTTTAATACATATTTTGAAGGTAAAGCAATAATAAAATCTCTGGTTTTATCAACATTGAGCAGTGCATCATTGTTTTTGTTTTTTCAAATTGGGAAGAGGCAAACACTTGATGGAAAAAACTACTTTCAGCAGTGATTCTCAAAGTGGAGTCGTTGGCCGAAGCCAGCGAGTCCTAGAACACTTTTTAGATTCATTCATATAACTTTTTAACAAAAACGTTTTGAATCTATAAATGTTCATAGATTAATTGTTAATCTAACAAATACATGACTCTGGATGCTGGATACTGTTGGGCAAATATTTTCCTAGGCCCATAACTTGGACCTAGTTTATCAGTTTGCCCTCGCTGAGCACAGGCCTGTGACCTTGGGGTGCTCTCTGTGTTTTGTCTCCTTATTCCTGCCCAGCCTCAGCTGATAGAGGTGTTATAGTGCTATGCCTGTGTTATCTTGTTATGCAGAATGTTGATTATTCTCTCAGAACCAGCTAAATACATAGGACTGGGTGAGACATGTTCAATTGGTTAGGGCAAGAGCTATGTCTCCTTGTGGCTGCACGCATGTCTTTGTCAATCCTCTGGCCCTAACTTCCAATAAGTTATTCAGTGTTTGCCATCCAATGCTCCAGAAGTTTCCATTACAGATACCACCAGGGGCGGCTACAGCCGGTAGCTTGGAGTTACTACAGCAACTAGGCCAAATGTTGGTGCTACTGTAGTAGCAATTGCAAAGCAACCCCAATACCACCATCAGTATAAATATGTATTGTGAGACAGTCAAAAAAACAGTCAAAGCTCATTGTATAAGACTCAACTCATTACACTAAATGTATGCTAGTTAGTTTGAATCGTAGGCTATACTAGCAGCAACCATAACATTGTATATATGAATATATTTACATGTATATAGACTTCTGCATTTACTTGGTCACATACAACATTCTCTGCATCATTAAGCTTATTGCCTTATTTATACATATATATTTATTTAGATTCAGACATAGTTAACTTCATCTGCATTACTTGCACATTGGTCTTGCAACATAACCTGCACTATTCTACTGTTTCTTATGCACCATTTTTATTATTTGATTTTTTAATTTAAAAAAATAAAATGTATGTCCTATATATAATATGTTGCATTGTGGGAGGAGCTTGGGACATAAGGTCCAATTTCCATATCTACACTGTAGCATCTTTGCACATGACAATAAAGCCATTGGACCTTGAACCTTAAGGTAACTGGCCCTTTAACCTAACCCAACCTAACCAAAATCATCGGTGCAATCCAGAGACACTGCAACAGTACCTTTGCAAAGGTCACACCATTCACACAATATCTTTTTTGTCCGTAGTTTGTGGTGTTGTTGCTGTACTAACCTGTACATCTCCAGAGTCTGTGCAAACTGAAGCACATTGTTGTAATCTCCGAACAGGTTGGAGATGCAGACTGTGAAGTTAAACTGTAACTTTTGCTCCTCCTCCCTACCGGTCTTCTGGTTTCTTATAGGAAGCCAAGTCTGGTTAGGTATTGTAACACTGTGTGGCTGCGTCAACAGAGTGACATGTGTAGCACTGAAGCCCTTAGGAATTCCACACATGACATCTGTTGTGATGAAGGGAAAACCAAAGTTTTCATTGTGTTTTAAAATTGTTGTTGGAGTTGCATTTGACAACTGGCCTGCACAGCAGAAAAGACAGTAGAGGGGTTGGTCGGAGTCCATCTTAAAGATGCCGATGATGCGTATATCCAAGCCCTTCACTCTCTGGTCCATGTAGGCCGACACCAGAATGTGCTTGGTATTGTTGAGGGGGGTTAGGGTCTGCTCAGAGATCTGCAGGGAGCACATTTTGGACGCAGAAAGCGGCTTTGGGAAAGCTTTGTACGTCATGTGTTTTCTCATATTGAGGCTGAGGAGGAAGATAAAGGTAGCAATGAAGAGGAGGAGTAACATCCCTTTTAGTTCTTTTGCCTTTCCCATCCAGGTAGAGGGGAAAAAGAAACCCAACCTGGGGCAGAAAGAGGAATCAGTTCAGATTACACATTTGCAGGAACAAAGAAAACACAATTATGTTTTAAGCCATCAATGAAATCACATTTTTAGCTTATTAGCTAAGAGTACGTTGAAATCAGCTTGAAACAGAACTCTCTATCTGTCTTCCACTTAAAGGTGAGACAGTCTCTAGAACAGGGGTGTGCTGCCTTAAAGGCATTTTATGATATAATTTGTTTGCAGTTCATAAAGTCACCACTAGGAGTGCTAATGGTCATGTTATCTTTAAGTTCGCCGTTCTTAGCGTCACTTCCGGTTTACGGCATCGCCACTTCCGGTTTAACGTTAGAGAAACGGTGTCAGTACCAGATATGTTCGGCCTACCAAATATGTTCGGGTGTATTTCCGTCGCATCCGTCATCCGTCATATCCGTCATATACTCACCTCCCTCTGCTCCCAGCGCTATGCTGCCACACACCGGCCGTCTGCGGAACTGCAGCCGGAGGAACTCGGTACAGCTTGTTATGTGTGTGTACTTAATTATTTACAATTAAAAAATATATATATTCTGCGTTACTTTAGCCAACACTTTTATAATATATAAGCCTGATCATGTCGTTGAAAGCAAGTACAGATGTTCTCCCTTTTCCACAGTTCTGTGTGAACTTCATCTAAGGTAGATGCTTTGCTTCTGCACCAGTTTAGCAGAAGTCTGTTTTGTAAGACTGGTTTTGTTGCAGTCTGTTCATGCTATGTGTTTCTTGCGTAAGACTATATACACACGGAACACATGTATTACAGGGCTGTACCCAGTGTGCTTCATAAAACATTTTTGAAGCTTATTTTTTTAAATTAAGCCGTTTCCATGTTATAACAGCATCTCGTTAAATCAATATCGGAAACAATAATTGTCTTTTTGTGGTTATTTAAATGTAATTTATGGTGCTATTAGAGTGCTTATAGACTGACCCGTTAATACAGATGCCCCCCCCCCCCCCCCCCCCCCCTTTGTGTGCGGTGAGCTGGAGAGAAGGCAGTCTATTTATTTTGGTGAAAAAAAAACCCCTAACATATATGGATTGAATCAGAATATTGTGTTGGATCAAAACATATTGTACATTTTGAGAATTCTTACATCTATTACAATACATTTTGAGCTTTGGACAATGTTTGGATCAAACGAGCCAGAAACAACCTTAAGCAGCCACCACTGGAATATTATTGCAGTAATATCATAATACTAGTAGCCTTATATTAGTGTAGCCTAATATTGATCGACAAATATTTAGAAATAAATCTGGTTCTGCCTGCCTGCCTCATCGCACTATGCCCTGCTGCATTACCATGTATAGTATTTACATTCATAATGATCCTTTTTTGTTGCAGAGCTTTAGAGGCTTTAAGAGACGAACTGTCAATGATGCCAACTTGGCGACCTACAAACTAGATATAGCAATCTTGGAGCTATTGCGGCTAGCTACTTTCATTGGAAAGAGTCTCTAATTTTTTGTATGTATATATTTCATATATCCATCCCAAGCTTACCTACCCAACTGAATGAATTCACACATTCAAGTAAATAGAAAGACAGCACAGCATTCAAGTGTTTATTGAGAATTTGAACTTCAACGTTAATGGAAAAAGCTCCAAACTTTTCTCTACAGCCCTTAGTATCAAGAAATCCTTCTAGTTCCTTTTACATGTGGATAGGAAAACAGCACAGATTGTTCAGAATATATGAGGAAGCCATCAGGGAAGCAGCATGACCCAAGGCAGGACTGCAGAGACAGGTTCAGCCACGACCCGAAGTCCACGACCCGAAGTCCACGACGGGCAGCGTCCGGGAAAACCAAACTTGAAGGTAAGATATCAAATGATGATCTTCATTAATTGCAGTGACAATTTAGTCTATTCTGACATTTGTTTGTGTGAGTTAATCTTTACCTATGATATCTGGTTGCAGAAGGGACTGCAATAGCCTGGATGTTGGTCATCAGAGTAGATGCCCTGCAATTCTCCTCTTTTACCTTTCCCAACATATCCTATGAATAGAAAAAGAAAATATTGTAATTGAATCACACTAGGACCACAACACACTAAATATGTAATGACACATAAACATTATTATCCAGAATAAGAAGTCTACCTGGTTTGCAGTTTTTGTAAGGCTCCAAGCATCCACGGCAGGTGTCAATGGTGTACATGACGTTGAAATCCTGCTTGTATGAAGCAGAGAACAAACTCCATGTAGCAACACCTGTGTAAAACAAGCATTTCAATAGAGCCATTAAAAATATGCATAGACACCACAGCTGTCGTATACTGCTGCACCTTCACTGAATCACTTACTCTCAAGCCAGCGAAAGTGGGCCCCTCTTCTGAAAGACACAGTGGACATTGTGTCTCTGAAGGTGGTACACACTAGAGTGAGTGATGAGTACGCTTTGTCACCTTCCTGGAGAACCACTTCCATCAGAAGGTCCGAGAGAAGACAGTTTGGCAGCTGTGAAGTATTGGTCAGACTAGATCAAACATATTTAACAACACATTGACTAGACTGTTGCCAGCACAATCGAAATACCAAGATTCTTTGGGCTTCAGGTAGCAAAAAGACACATTTTTAATATTAATGTTGAATATATCACACACATTTTTCTTATGTTTTTGTTATTCTTCTCCTTGAGGTAAAAAACAGCTATCAATAAAGTTAAAAAAAGCAGTGAGACATAATAGTTGGAAATTCTGCCGTGATCACAGGTCGTTTTTTAAACAAAAAACAGTTACTGCTTCACTGAAAAGATATTACCTCCAATATGAAGCACATGTCGGACTTTTGAAACTGGACCTTTGAAGGAAAATATAAGGTGTGGGTCATGTGATTGTTTAATTACATGTGTATACAATTATCAATATGTATGCATGTGTTAAATAATCTGGATCTGTCCGTGGCTATAAAAATCACATAATATCAGGATGAAAATGTAAATCAGTGTCAAAGAAACTGTTGTCTATAAAGTAACATTTAAAATGTATGATTTACCCTTCAATCTGGTACCGTTCCATGAGCATAATGCACCACCATTTCCGGATCTGTGCTATGTCCCGCTAAAAGAAAATGTAACAATAATAAAGTTGAAAATGAATGGAACCTCATCATTTGTCTACTCAATGTTAGCCCCCTCTTCCCCCTGAAATACTAACTCAGAGGATAAATACTGACCTCGGTAAACCAAAGTAGAGCATCTGTGCTGAAGTTGAGTGCATACTGTGAAAGGATAAAGATCTGTTAAGTTATGAGTTTCAAAAACTAACAAAACCCCTTAAAAAAAAGTGTCAAGGGAGGAATTTACCATCAGTATGAAGACACCACAGTCATTGCCCGTGGTTTGGTGAGGCTAACCCTGTAAGAATTTGGAATATAACAGTGATGTTCATGGTCAAATGGAAAATAAAGACATGTGAAAGCAGGTGTATGAGATGGTGGAGAAATGTACCTTGACGTCTCTGCCGAACTTTACTGTCCACTGACCTGGAGCAATGCGGTGCGCTAGGTCACTGTCAAAAGAAATGATAAGACATGGGAATTGATTTGGTGAAGGAACGCTATACACAATATAATTCATGTTTTTGGATTTCCTTACATTGAACTATTGCATGCCTTAAAAGAGGAAAGTTATGAAAGCCACTGAACGGGGCTAAAATAAAACAAACAAAAATACGTTTACCAGCCGCTGAACAAAGCTGAACTTGAAAACAACCTTTGAACAAGGCTTATAACAAAATGAATATTATAATTCATAGCATCCTGTTGCAGACTCTTTTTCTTTTGGTTCCACTAAGGACACTCCAGACTTTGTGGAAATGGAGATATATTATAAATGAATTTGATCAGATTCAGACCCCTGGTCTACAAGATGGTTACTGCAGTATTAGAATACTATAAACTATTTAGAACTCCCATACAAGCCACAGAACGGTGAGGGGGTAATCATGTTACAAAAACCTAAATATGTCCTTGTAGGAATTGTCCCCAAAGCCATCTGGCTTAAGAGGGTCGAGCAAATATAACTCTCTCTTTGCTGGCTTGATCACCTGTCAACCATTGACAAAATAGCTGAAATTAGACATAATCAAACACCAGAAGAAAACCACACAGCACAACTTATGTTCATTTTGTACATGCTGGTGAGATCATTTGGAACAGACTCACGCAAAGCAAATAGTGATCTGCCTTTCCTTGCTGCCGACTCCAGGCAGGGATGAAAACCATGTCCTTGGTGGCCAATTGGTCAGCCTAGTATTTTAAACAAGGGATTTTAAGTTGCTGTATATCAATTTCAAGAAACATAGGTCTCAAGCAACAGGAACTTACTGGAAAACTGGCCAACACGTCAGCTGTTTTGGACTTCCAGGTAGGAACCACATACATATCCACGATGTATATATCTTTGCCCTATATTGATAGTTTTTCAAAAAAAATGAAATCTTCATAGAAGTATGTTCAACAACAAGAGACAACCACACTTCACGAGATTGGAGTTTCACCACTAAACAGCTATTTAGAAAATATGTGTTATTCAAAAGAAAAAAGCAGGCCAATGATGTCTGTTGAAAACCGTACATGTCTTTGGGTGGCTTCTTGTACCATCTTCAGGCACGTGTTTCCAATCTGAAACAGTAACAACAGTAAGTTACCTGTGCCATTTATTTGAGACAAGATGAAGTTGGGAGGAAAGCTCAAGTATACCTACATTTGACTCCATGCACTGAGGAAGACCCAGGCTCCAAAAGTCCTCTCTGGTCAGGCACACATCACCCTCCTTCACAATGACCTCTGCTCCAGGCCTATTGTGGTCTAGCACATAGCTGAGCTGCAAATAACAGATTGCAAAACATACTTCAAGCCAATAGAAAACATAGAAAAATTAAAATCAAAACAATGCACCTCCATCACTGTGCATGAAGTAAACATATATCTACCAGCTTGTCTTGAATCGGATGTAGATCCTTTGCGT